GAAAACTAACCAGGACAGGCTTCTTTGTACTTTTCTCAGCTTGAGAGAGGGTCTTGAGAAGCTGCCCAGGCTGGCTTTAAATTCACGCTGTAGTCTAAGCTGGCCTTAAACTTTCCGTCCTCCTGTCCCATCTTCCTCAATAGTTGAGATGGCAGGCCTGTCTCAGGGCCTGGAGGGCTTTCCGTTTAGTACATTGCCATCCAAGATTTCTTTGGGGGAGAGGATATTGACTTAGGTTTGTAAATTTTGAGTTGACATAATTCCCAACTTGCAGACAATTTAGAAGGAAAGGTATGAAGAAGGGCCACATTTCTCACCCAGACTCTCTCAGTACGTGTCTCTCCAGAGATAGTGCTGGACATTAAGACTTTACAATTACATTCATTTATTTGTGTGCACACTGAGGGACCCCAACTCGTTTTAACCACAGTTATACCGTTTTGCAAAGGTTCACAGATAACAAGCTCAGCTCAGGACCTCCGGAATGCTGAGCAGATAACAAGCTTAATCCAGGGCCTCCAGAATGCTGAGCAAAGATACCTGAGGTTAGAGCAAGGACAGCCTTATCTGGCTGCAAGACAGGGGATTTATGGACTGGCCATAGAAACAAAGAAAGAGAGGATTGCGAGGCCTGAGTCACGTATAAAGCGGGGCTCGTCACGAGTCAGGGGCTGTGAAATCAGACATCTGGTCGCCAGCCAGGAAAGGGGGACAGGATAAGAGGAGCAGTAAACCGCTGAGTAGTCCCCTCATTGTTATTTAGGTTAAGAATTTACCACCCTGCATCTTGCTTCTGTAAACCTCGCTTTTTGCTCTCCGATAAGAACCCCTCACCCCCAACCTGCGGCGCGCAAGTCCTCCGAGAGACTTTGTCGCCCCAGGTACCTGCGTATCCAATAAACCTCTTGCTGTTTGCATCCGGCTGCGTGTTTTCGACTGATCCTTGGGCACGGGGTCTCACGGGAGTCTTTCACACACATGTGCCCTAAATAGCTCTGAGTAGCTCCTGCTCTAAGAGGATCGATGCCCTCCCATCAGCAGCTTTCTCAAGAGTCTCTAGCCCAACAGTGTGTGCAGGACCAGAGTTGGCATGGCACAGAATCTTCCAGAAAGCTATAAACAAGGCTTTAATGGATGTGTACCAAATCTTCAGAGGAAGAACTGTCACAGTTTGAGGCAAACCCAGATGCCTGAGTGCCTCAGATATCAGTCAGGGTACCTCTAGAACCAAGTCATAAATGCAATGCTTTTCTGGCAAAACTTCCAAAGAGATGTCTTAAATAAGCCTTCCAAGATTTTCATATGATTCTGACATGTTCTCTATCCTAGGGGAACCCAAGAGAGTCGTGGTATGCCAGATGAGCCAGTCACAAAAAGCATAGCATGACTCTACACCCTGAGGTTTCTAGGAGAACCCTGTGGTCCACAGAGACAGGTGGGACTGGGGTTCTGGATGCTCATGGTGTTTTATATAGTGTATGTTGTACTACAATGCTATATTTTGGATCTGAAATGTCCCCCCAAGTCCCACGTGTTAAAGGCTTGGTCCCCAATGTGGTAGTGTTGGGAGGTGATGAAAGCTTTATGAGATGGGGTCTAGAGGGGGGGGTCTTTGTGTCTTTGGTAGTGTGTCTGAGAAGGAGATAGTGGGGCCCAGCCCTTTTTCTCTCTTTTTCCCTTTATACTGCTACCAGCATTCTGCCTCACTACAGGCAAACCCACTATGGTCAGAAACCTCCACAAAGGGAGCCAAAATAAATTATTTATCCTTATCAGCCAAGTCTCCAGCATTTGTTACAGTAACAAAAACCCACACATGAAAAAACAATTAACGAATTAACGTCTATTGCTTTAATAATCATAATGATCCCAATAATGGGGTTATTGCTAGCAAGCAGCAGGTTATAAAATAACAAAGAGTCAAGTGACCAGTGTGCAGACTGAGGGAGACCTTCAGATAAACAGAATGGAGGACATGCCAGAAATGACGTCAAGCTCTTATTCCGCAGCAAAGAAAGAAGATTCTCTCCAGAGGAGAAATCAAATAGGTGATTCTGGATCGCTTCTTACCGGAGTCAGGCACCAGCGTGACTGGAAATGTTTGCAATAGAGACGGAAGTGAATCTGCCCTTGAACCTGGGAATAACACCTACGGCCCTGCACGAGCTGAGGTGGGTGGCAAGGCCGTGCAACAGCTAGGGACAGTGACAGAGCACAGCACTGAAGGAAGGGGCTGTTCTCCACCTCGGGCAACAGAGTGGAGACAATGAAAGACACGCTGTTTGTGTGATGGTGCTAATGCCTGTCATGCACAAGGAGCCTCACCAGTCAACAGCAAAATAGCAAAGGCCAGTAAGGAAATGAGTGAGAAATAAAGCAGGATAACTTAAGAGTGAGGGGGGATCTGGGCGGTGGTGGTGCACGCCTTTAATCCCAGCACTCGGGAGGCAGAGGCAGGCGGATCTCTGTGAGTTTGAGGCCAGCTCTGGTCTACAGAGCTACTTCCAGGACAGCTAGGGCTGTTACACAGAGAACCCCATCTTGAAAAACAAACAAACAAAAGAGTAAAGGGAAAACTCAACTGGTTTAAAGATTGGTACCTGGACATGAAGAAGCACGGAACTTACTAGAACTAGAAGTTAACATTTCTTACCTCACACCTACCCACTCTGCCTGTTGGGTACACGCACGACAGAAGGGTGACAAATAGAGACAGGTAGGAGGGGAAGGACAGCTATTTTCATAAAGAAGCACCACGCGAGATATACAGGCCACACCCGTGGGTCACACACATCCATCACATGCATTAATTGTGTGTGTGAATTGCTGGGCCTGACCCACCAGTGGCACATCTTAGACAGTTCTCTCCAGGAAGAAGGCTTCCTTAATGATCCACCTAGCAGCTGACTACATAAACACAAATAAATAAAGAAGGCCTTGGTCCCAACCCTGACCCACGTCAGACCCAAGGCCACTTGGATACCTTAAGTGGTTCAGCAACCCTACGCGGTCCTGGTTAGCTTGAATCACCAGTTTGGCACAGTCTAGAGACAGGTGAAGCTGAAGCCTCAATTGAGGGATGGCCTTGATGAATCTGGCCTGTGGACTTGTCTGCGATGAACTGGGTAGGAAGGCCCATCCCATTGTGGGCAGAGACATTCCCTGCGCAGGTGGTCCAGAGCTGTATAAAAACCTAGTCAAGGGTGAGCCAGAGAGGAAGACAGGAAGTGAGTCAACAAGTCGCATTTCTCTGTTTCTCTGCTCTGTCTCTCCTCAGTGATAGACCGTAACTTGGAGTTGTAAAATAAAACAGACCTTTGCCTCTCAGAAGTTGTTTTTGGTCACAGTGCTTATAACAGCAACAGAAATGAGAATACCCAAGGTCAGTGGTGAGTCCTGTCTCCTCCACTGTCCTGCACCAACACCATCACCCGGGCCACTCTTCTGGGAGCCATGCTGGTCCAGGCCTAGGTACAACAATCCCCTTGAGCCATCAAGGGCACACGGTGTAAACAGCTAGGACCATTCCTTCGTTTTCCTGACCAAAAGAAGACCCATCGCAGGCTGGAAGCCCCTTCAGAAGGTGATAAGTGCAAACTCTAGATGGCCCAGGCTTTGCAGACCACTGAGGCCCTATAGGAACGATGGGCAGGCCAGTCCAGGAATCCTGAACATGGGAACCTCCAAAGGCAGAAAGATGGCCCATAGAGCTGCTATCCTGAGGTCTGGACCCTTCCTCCTAAGACAGAAAGTCAGCCTTCCATCTGTTCCCAGAGCCAATGTGGCTAACAGACAGACACCCTTACGATAGCCAAACCTTGGTGAAGACAAGACCAAGTGGAGTAGATCAAGGGAAGGGGTGGTGTGTCGACAGGCCTCGCACAGCTGCCCTGGGCTGGGGCTGTGTGAGTTTCTTCCTGCCCGTGATGTTCTTACTGCACAGGAGAACTGGTGAGCAGCGGTACAGGGAGACGCGGGTAGTCAAGGCTGGGTGGTCGCTCGGGAGGGACAGAGTCCAGTTCTTTCCTTTCCTTGATGCTCTCTCAGAGGGAGCAGCTCTCACGATGGCCCCAGTTCTGGGCTCCTGATGTTTTCTAGGATGGGACAGGAGCGGGACAAGGAATGACGACCATGTGACCACAGAGTCTGCCTTTTATCATAAAGGCCACACCGTGCGCTGTGCAGAGGCCCCACGGAGCTCTACCACGTCTCTCAGGAGCGTCCTCTCGTGGGTGGGCAAAAGCGAAGGAAGCCCTTCCCACAACAGAGAACACAAATGCCATCCGGAAGGCAGGTGGCACGGGTGGGCTCACTGCTCTGGGGTAGCCAGCTGGAGGTCTGACCCCTTCTCTCCTTCTCCATCTTCTGTCCCCATCCTGGGGTTGGCCTTGGCGCTCATGTCCCCTAGGGACCTCTTCTGGCCTCCTGAGGCTTAGCTCAGGACCTGAAGGTACACCCAAAGAGCCCAGAAATCTCTGTATCATAGCGACTAGATTCTTGACCAGGGAGCAGGCCACATCAGCGTTCTCAGCAGGTACTCCAGAACTGGTCTCAAAAATCAATCTCCCCCAGGAATGGGCACCAGGTGTTGGATGTGGTCACTACAGCACAGGTCAGTTGGCAGTGTCCAGCTGTGTGGGACAATGACGAGGGAGATGGGTAGTGAGGCAGGGTTCAGGATGGCTGAGGTCAGAGCATGCTTGGAAGGATCAAGTCAGTTAAAAGGTGTGCCCAATCAGGAGGCTCCAAAATGTGACATGGATTTGCGTTTCCTTTTGATTCCTTCCTGGTGGTTTACGTAAGAGGCAGCGCATTGGGGCCAGGAAGGGACAGAATCATGGGGCTGGGTTTACACCAGCTATGCGAAGCCCCTCCGCTCTGCCCCCGCCTGTGAGGGGCTTTCTTGGCTGGGTCTGTTCCTGACAGAAGGGATGCGTGTTGTCGGGGGTGGGGGGCTTGGCATGTGTGTGTGTGTGGAGAGAGAGAGAGAGTACGTGTGTGTGTGTGTGTGTGTGTGTGTGTGTGTGTGTGTGTGTTTAAAATACAGAAAAAAGAAGCATGGCTTTCCTCAGCTGCAGAGGCGGGCCGGGTTCTGTCCGTGCCAACTCCCTCAGAGCGGGCACTGTGGGGACACAGGAGGCACAGGAAGACGGCAGAGGTGAGGGACGGGTGTGGAGAAAGATGGACGCTTGCCATCTCGAGCGCCAGCGGCTGCATGAGGCCAAACCCCATGAACAAAACCCACAGCAGATCGCTGGCAGCCCATGTTAGGAGACGGAAGACAGTTGGCAGCGCTGCCGCAGCCTGGGAGCAGGCGGATGTAGGCAAGGCCAGCGTGGAACAGGTAAGGAGAGAGTGGGGCTCACTAAAGTACAGGGACCTGGTATCTGTGCTGGGGTGCACATGGAAGCTAAGTCTGACCTGGGTGCGGATCCCACGGCATGGCAGCTTTCAGAGAGGGCCGGATCTGAGGAGGTCTGGCTGCCTCATGCCCAGATCATCTCCGTGTACCCTCTGGGCCCTTTAATATGTCTTGGTACCCACTGCTTGCCCATGTGTGCTTGACTGGTGTTCTAAAGATGTGGGGTGTGTTGGCCTGGGTGGGCCATCTGGAACCGGGAATACAGCAGCCGCACCCCATGGTGGTCTCAAGGCTGCATCATTTCCACCAACGTCCGTACCCCCAGGGACGGTCCGCTCTACCCTGGTTATGCAAGGCCCCCTGACCATAAAGGGGTAGATCCTTTGGCAGGTGGGTCGGGATGGGCTGGGACTATGTTAGAAGGTTCCGGAGCACTCCGAGAATTGCACCCCACACTCTCAATCTTCCCAGAGCCCCCATCCTTGCCCACAGCCAGGCTTGGCACCTCGGTGCCTGTGTGCAGATCGATGGGACTGAAGCCAAATGTGCCATCAAAGGGATCCGGGTGCCAGTGCCAAGGAGCCAGCTGCTGAGGGCACGGGTGGGGTGGGCTCCAGAGGGGAGGAGCATGTGGCTGAGCTTTCCTAGCTGCTCCAAGGACAAAGCCCACCCCCTTCGTTAGTGGTCACGGGCTGGTCAGAAAGGGTGGGGCTAAGGATGGGTACATTCCATCTAGTATGGCATGGGTGGTACCAGCTGGGAATGAGGATCAGGCAAGGATATAGGTGCTGCCCTTGTGCCCAGTTACCTTTCCTTACGTGAGGTTCCAGGAAAACATGGACATCAGCTTCCCTCCATTTCCCCCCATTCTTCCGTTCCCTTCTATTTCTTCCCCAGCAGAGGCTGGCATGGGCTCTGGAATTCATGCCTCAGGCTGGTGGGATAACAAGAGGGACAGCGGGGCCACAATGGGACTTGGGCCACTCTGTTCCAGTGTAACAGTCTAGGAAGTCTCTAATCTCAGGAAGGTGTCATTCACGGAGACATAGGGCACTCAGGTAAGCAAAGACATCAGCTTTGGTGCAGGCTCTGTGGCACCCAGCTTCCTCTGCAGAGTCGGGTTGGCCTAGGCTTTGGGACTGCGGAGAGTGTAGTCTGGAGCCCAGCTGAGCACAGGAGATGCCCCAGAAGGATCGGGGCAGGGGTCCTGAAGGTCAAGAGACTGAGGAGCATGGTTCAGAGACTGAGAGGCACATTGTCTGGGGCAGGCAGTTGGGAAAGAGGGAGAAGTTCCGGGGGAGGCTCAGAGCCCCGCAAAGGCTGAGCCAATTGGAAAGGGCTACCAGACATCAGCACTGCTTAGCCAATCAGAGATCCCTTCTTACAGCCTGGGGGAGGCCCTGCTGCAGTGGGCTATAGCCTTTAGATAGAGGCTGGCTAAAGACTTGTGAGGAGAGGGCTCCCTTTGAAAATCCTGGGGTGAGTCGGTTTCTGGTATGGCCCTGCACAGGGCTGGGGATGAGAAGGTATGTACCCACTGGGCATTTGGAAGAATTAAGGTGAGAAGACACAGGCCTGCTATGGTCACTGCTACATACAGGACCATAGAACCAAAGAAAGGGTTGTTTCTCAGTTGGAAGGAAACAGGTAACCAACCTACATTCTCAAGGGAAGGACTCAAAGGAAATCCCAGTCGGGCTTCCTGGCTCCGAAGTGCAGGTTCAGTGTCATCGATCCCCTTGTAGCCTAGGATTCTCAGAAGCAAACTTTGGGGCGTTGGTGCTAGCTCAGTCTGACCAGATCTAGGCTCAGTTGAGGACAAAAGCCTATAGTCTCCGGGTCTGTTTGGTTGGCCATGGTCTAAGTGGACCCTCTGACTGTCTGGCTCTGGGGACCAGATGGGTACAGTAGGATGGATGAGAATCAAAAAGGGCTAGAAATGGCTGTGTGGATTTTGCACTGTGCACACTTGGCCTTAGGGAGTCTGGGTTCACTCAACTGGGCAAGTCGCCATTGGTCTGGGGAAGGGAACATGCTGGCCTGGTTCAGAGTCCCTGATTTGAGTGCCCAGGGGTCTTCGGGTGGTCCTAGCTGTCCACTGTGGCACCGTGGTCCTTAGCAAAGCCTCAGTCCACAACACAAATATACTTATGAGAGGAGAGACCCTAGATGTCCATTGGGCCTTCTGCCTAGCTCCAGGCCAGTGTAAGTAATATACCTGTGTGTGTGTCACCTCTGTCTATGGAGACTATTAACCTGTCTCCAGTATGGAACTCCCTAGGAACCCTCCCATCCAGAGTTGCTATGGCCTGGCCTGGAGGGTAGGTATAGGGTGGCTGACTACCCCATGTTGGGCAGGTCTGTACTGATGTTGATAAAGGTAAAACACAGCAGGGCTGGGGGCCTTCTGGATGCGGAAAAGCTGTATACCCACCTGCCCTTTTGTCCCGGGCTCTACAGTGTCTGCGGATCAGGAGGCAGGCAGGGAGGTTGGCATCCCACCTGCCTCCCAGCTCCTTCCTCCCCCTCTGCCTCCAAAATTTCACAGTGCCTGCTTTCTGCGCTGGCCCAGCTCCCTGGAGACTCCACCAGATGTTCCTGGGCCGCACGTTGCTCCCTGATGAAATATTCATGCAGTCGCTCTGCCTCTTGACACGAAAGCCTTCTGCAGCTTCCTCGCCACCGGGAGCTTGGCAGCTAGCTCCCGCAATGTTGGCACCTAGCAAGAACACCCCATGGGCGCTGGACAGGACCCACCCCTTGTCTTGAGAAGGGTCAGAGTCTCCTGTGACTTCATCCTTCTCCCTGCCTCAGGACCACTCTGACTCCATCCATTCCAGACTCCCAGGGCCCAGGGTCAGCATCTAAGCATATCAACATGTTCTTTGCCCTGAAGGGCTGCAGAGGTCATTCTGCATAGGATAAGCTACTCCATGGGGGACAGACACCCTCAAAGAGCATCCCACTCTACCCAGCAAGTCCAGAGATGGTGAGCGGCCCGTGTCCTCCATTGTCCCACAGGCACGTGCCAACCTTATAGGCCTACCCGTATTTTTTTTTCCTGGGAGCGGCTTGCCAGTCTGGTTACTGGCATCCATCCACTGTCTCCTCTGAGATTAAGAAGAAAATCCCCCAGATACAAGCTCTGTAGCTGGAGGCTGAGCTTGCTAATGTGGAGGCAAGGACCTGGCTGTGCCTTCTGTGTGTCACGCTCCCCTGCAGCCCCCAAAAGCTCTCAGGAAAGCCTAGCTACTTTATTCAGCAGAGGATTGGCCTACCAGATCAGGAAATATGGTGGACAGATGACAGCTCAAGGCCACTCCCAGCCACGTCTACAGGAAGCCGTAGACTGGGGATAGTTCCTTCCTAGGGCTCCTGTTCAAACTATTGGCACAAGCAGGCAAGGCACCCATGCCAGCCTTAGACTGGGACAGGTTCCTCTGACCAGTTTGTGGCCCTCCTTTCAAAGTCAATGCCACAGCAGGTGGAACAGTCTCTCATCCCTCACCTTTGTGTTGAGCCTGTCAAGACCTGGACCTGATTCCTCCCAACTCCAGAGCCTCATCTTGCAGGGTTGGCCACATAGGAACTCTGCCTGGTAGATCTCTGGGTTGTCACTCTCCTGGTGGACTGGATTCTTAGTCTATCTCCTGTCCTGGGTGCATCAACAGTTCCGAGTCTGCCTGGACACCACGTCCCACTCACTCCTCCCATTGGCCTTAGTCTCCACATTCCTGGGCCTGACCCTGGTACCTTTGCAAGGATATTATACACATGACAGGTGACTGCCACCCACTCACTCCAACCTCACTGATAGCATGAGACAGTTCACCAGTTACAGGGCTCCTGAGTCTATGTGGAGCCTCCCTTCCACAGGACTATTCCTGTTCTCAGCCATGAGTAGCTGCTGTTCTGCTGTCAGGAAGACCCTCAAGTGTGACAGCAGCCCCAGGGACCCCTTTCCAAAATCATGCTTAGGGGAAGAGCCCTTTACCGAACATCACACTTAGGGGCAGAGCCCATGACCTAACATCACGCTTAGGGGCAGAAACCCTTTACCGAACATCACACTTAGGGGCAGAGCGCTTTACCCAACATCACATTTAGAGGGAGAGCCCTTTACCTAACATCACGCTCAGGGGCAGATCCCTTTACCAAACATCACGCTTAGGGGGAGAGCCCTTTACCTAACATCAGGCTTAGGGGGAGAAGCCCTTTACCAAACATCACGCTTGGGGGGGGGGGGAAGCCCTTTACCAAACATCACGCTAAAGGAGAAGCCCTTTACCCAACATATGCTTAAGCTCCCACTCAAAGTCAAGGTTCTGTCTGTTCTTGCTCCTGGGTTATTAATGAGGGTGAGTGCAGTGTGCCCAGGCTCCACCCATCATAGAGACAGATGACTTGCTGAATGTCTGTGAGCAGAGCCATACAGATGATTCCATGGCCCTTGGCTCCAACATCATCTCCAGTTCTCTCTGGTTACATTCCTTGATGCCCTGCTCATAGGATGCCCTGATCATGGTTCTGGGTGGGATTGAGAGAGAGGCCCCAGGGAAGAGTTTCTTGCTGAGAGCATGGCTGAGGATCATTAGCCCTGGGCCAAGTGCTCCTATGTGTGTAATGATGATCCCAGTCACAAGCTTGGGAGAGAGCGCTTAGCTCACTGTCTACCAGAATCTCACCCTCCAGCACAGCAGCTGCTGATGACCAGGCTCACTCTGCCACTGACATTGGCTTCTTAGGGCTTAGACAGCCTCATCCTTTCATCTCTTCTTTGGTGCCACCCTCATATGGTGCCAGGAAATACTTGGGGCTGCAGCAGTTTCTGATTCAGCTGCTTTCACAAGGACCCAAGGGGCTGCTGGATCCTAGTAAAGAGGACCTGGAGCCCCTGAGAGTGCAATTCCTGGCTTTCAGAGTGTGGATCTTGGCCCTATAGCTCTTCTCTTGATGAGCTGTGAGGTTGTCTGCCTGTCCTG